AGGCACGCCATTTCTGCAACAGTGCCTGCATTTGTTAAATCCACTTTTCAAGTTCTCTAAGCCAGTAGCCTGTTGGCATGAAGAGGGTTGCTATCCCCAGCTGAGTTGTCTCCTTCCAGCGGTCCCACTGCAAAGACCCATCGGCCTCTGCTCCGAAGTAAATCAGTAAAGCCAAGGCACACTATATCAGCTGAGCAAACTGCGCACACAGAATAGGCGTGAGGCTTGTGGAAGCATACTACAACTACGGATTTATTAATCATAAATCAGGACAAAGAAACATGTCGTCTCTCTCTTTGTCTTCACAAAGAGACAGAGAAAAGCAAAAGCTATACACACAACGGAAGTTCCCAGCAAGCTGTGCTGGAATGTAAACAGACATGTGACACGCAACAGTTCCATGTCTGCTCCTTAAGGTGGAATGGAATATTCCCAACACAGCCATCATCGTATGTCTTAAGGCAGTGCTGGTAATTTGCCTGTCAGCAATGGCAAACCAATTTAACAGGTCATCCCGTAAGCAGACACACACACACCAAAACAACAACAGCAACACATTCAAGTTCCTATGTGATTTCTCCCACTAGCAAAGCCAGATACCGGCAGGAATTATTTTGGCAGGATCAGGATTTGGGCAGCTCTTGCCTGACTCTCTGGATCCCATGTCAACTTACATGACCAAGAAGGAGTTCCACTTCTCGTGGACGATCAACTTTTCCACAGCAACAGCCACAGAGCCGGCCTCCTCTACTTCCAGGTTTTGTTTGCCCAAAAGGACGCGGTAAGTCCGACTGGAGCTACAGACATAAGGAACAGGCAGTGGCGTTGTGTGTGAATATCAAATGAAATGCAGATCCCTTGATGCCTTCCCAATAGCTTCCTTCCTTCGTACATTGAGTATTTTGTCTTCCTAGAAATGAGCAGGGTCTTTTGGCAGTGTGTGCATCTGTGTGTTATTACTGGGCCAAGTTCAAGGTGTTAGCAGTTTAGGACTAGCTTACCTGCAAAATGCCCTTACCTAGTTGACCGCTTTGATCTGCGGAACTGGCACGGTTACAAGCACCACATAGTATCTGTTCCACCTGATCAATCTTTTAGTGTAGCAGTACCTACACTGTGGAACTCCCTGCCTATTGACACTAGGCATGTTCCTTTGCTGTACTCTTCCCAGCACCTGCTTAAAACATTTTTGCTGAGACAAGCCTACCCAGCTATGAAGAATGTTGGTGTGTGTTTTAGTCTGTTTTTAGTTTATCGCCAATTTAAATTTTATGTATGTTTTAAATCATTGTTTTTAATCAAAATTTTATTGTTTTCCCTCTCTCTTTGTAAACTACTTTGAAGGTTTTTTTTACAGTCATGGAGTGTATACATTTTTATGAAATAAATAAACCAACATTTTATTGAAAGACATTTAATTGTGTGTATAAAGAAATAAAACCTATCACACACAAACACCCTTTTGCACCCATGACCCTGAGATTAAGAGCCCCATGTTCGACCGAGTGAGCTATCCCAGATCTCCTACCCCATATTTGCAAAATTCTCATGAATGAACCACTTTTGCTTCTATGGGACATGTCAAAAGAAACGATCTTGGCTTGAGAGTGCAGCGTGATTTTGTTGGTACTTTTTTCTACATAGACTCCTTCCATCCAGAAAAATCCCATGGCCATTCTGAACAAGTTCTGAAATTATGTCACAAAAAAGTGAAAACAAAAAAACCAACATCCTGCAGTTGGCTTGCCCATTTTGCAATTTTTTTTATTTAAAAATTTAAGTCTAAAAGGTTAGGCTCAGGGTTCAGCGGAGCACACCGATGTGAAACAAGGAAATTTGAATGGTAGCATGGGTAGAGCTGCCATATGTCTGTGTTTTCCCAAACACATCTGGGAATCGGGCTGCAAAAAGTCGTTCAGGTGGATTTTTGCTGAATCGGCAAAATGTCTGGGAAAACCTGTACATGTGGCAAGTAGGGCGGTTTTTTAAAAAATGCTTTTATAATCCCTCCAAAAGTCCAAAAACTTAAATGGGGAGAGGGAGACCCCCCCCAAAATGCTCAACAACTTTGTCCAGATTTTCACTTTTGGGAATATGGCAATGTTTTGGGGACTATGTGGGTGTTCCAGTACTACTAGGCAACCGCTCCACTGCAGCCTCAGGATGGGTTTCTGCAGCATCCTTGCTGTTGGTGGGGTGCTGCTTACCTGATGCAATGAGCAGCTGTCAAGACCCAGTTGGACTCAATCAGGGTTCCTCCACATGTGTGAGCCCAGACGCCGTTCTTGTCGTACTGGAGGGAGACCTGAAAAGCAAACCCACCCCCAAAGCAGATGGCTGTTAGCTGTATGGGTCAAGAACAAATATTTTGGTGTGTTGACCTGGTATCTTCGCCACAATATTGGTCCCACACCTTGACGTTTCTTATATATCAGTTCACTGCATTTATATCCCCAACAATTCAAGGCAGCATGCCTGGTTTTGCAGCCTTCCCCATTTCATCCACACACCAACCCTGCGAGGTAGGCTGGGCTGAGAGGTAGTGACTGTCTCTCCTCCAAAGCTGGAGATGGGAGGCAGCGGCAGCAGCTGACAAACCATTTCTCCCCTTCAGCATTTAGATCCAGCCCATCGTGCTGGATCATCCACTCTGCTAACAGGTTGTGATAAGCTTCCTGTCCATGGCTGGGCCTGAGAACTTCAGAACCTGCAGCCACTTCTACCACTTCTGGTGGCGAGATGTTCCACAGGACGACACTGGGCCATTTCTCGCCTCCTAAAAAGCAAACGTGACACTTGCTTGCACCGCACGTGGGGGAAAAACATTGCGGATTTACCTGCCAGGGCCAGCTATGGGGTCTGGCGTCCTCACCTCCGACAACACGGGAAATGTTGGGTGGATAAGCAGATTTGCCACAGCCGTGGGCTGGAAGAAGACAGCAGGCGTGGGGGTGATGAAAGAGAAAATTAGGGAGAGGGAGGAGAGAGACAGAGACTGAGATGAGCATCTTGGGTACCACAAGGGAGCCAGAGCTGGACACACTGGTATTGTCCATTATTGGTTTAATGAATCTGTTCATGGCTTTTTGCAGAAAGCATCCTTTTTTAAAAAAAAGCTACCAGAGGCTATTTATTTCATTTATTTCATAATTTATATATTGCTTGATTGTAAACAACAACAACCTCAAAGGAGCTTACAAAAAGAATAAAAATGAAATAATCATTTAAAAAGCAGAACCATTTTAAACCCTCAAAAAAATAATTAAAATCAATGATAAGCTAAAGACCAGATTTAGCATGTGTCAACGGTCTACATGTCTCAGTAGGTTTGCCTAAGCAAAATGTTTTCAGCCAGCGCTGAAAAGAGTACAGTGAAAGCGACTCCCTGATATCAATAGGCAGGGAGTTCCAAAGTTATGTCCATTTTGTGCAAATTTGTATGCTCTTGAACCCACCACGAAGCTCATCTTGGAGAGAGAGGCTACTTCACCAGAGACAAGAAACTGAATTCATTGCATTTCCAAAGAACTATTTTGGGCTGGGCTGAGACTTGTATCAATGAAAAGACGAATTGCATGCCAAACAGCCCCAACTTAACTGCACCAAAGACACTTACCGTAGCCCAGGATCAAAGCGATGAAGACCAACTTGAACATGGTGACCGAGTGATGGTGATCCAGGGGTGAAGTCAGTGTATTTATAATGGAAACCAGCCTTGACCTAAACCAGGCTTAAATAACAGGCTATATCTGACCTTGCCAAGTTATCGCTTTGCAAATAGAAAGAACAAGGGGGACAGCTTGCTCAAAGGCCCTGACCGGATTCCACACTCTGGTTGCTGAAATATTTCACAGCAGGGGTGTTGTTCAAGTCCTTTGCACAGGCCTGAGACCTCCCCCTTTTATTTTAAGCTTAAATTTTCTTTTAAGCAGCAACAAAAATTGCTTCTAGGGTGGCGTTCTCTCTGGAAACGAGCCTGATTTTTCATCTACATATCTAAATTAGAGGCAGGGAAGCTTTTTGAAGCCTGAAGGCCACATTAGTTTCTGGGTCATCTTCTGGGGTCCACATTCCAGCAGGAAAAGTGGGTGGGGCAATAAATATAGATGCAACCTCTTTGCAGGAGGCTACTTTCTACACACATTCAGCACACCCCTCATCTATGCAAGGAAGTTCAGAGTTCATGGGGTGTTTTCCAGCCAGGCAGAAAAACATCAAGGAGGGGGTGAAGCCAAGCTGGTGAGGAGCATTGCCGGGGGAGAGAAATTTAAATGAAGGTGTCATGAAAAAGAAACATGCCAGTTCAGTCAAAAGGGAAAAGATGCATTCGAGTGGGAATGATTTATTGTCCCAATGCATTTCAAGCATTGTGACTCTTTTTCAGAGGCAACTGATTTGACATATTCTAAGGACTGGCAGCAGCTCTCCACAATTTCAGATAGGCATCTTTCTTGGCCATACCTGGAGATGCCAGGGATTGAACCTGCGACATTTCCTCATGCAGAACAGGTGCTCTACCTTTGAGCCCTTTCTACCAAATAAAATAAGATTATAGTTCTCATGGTCTCCAAATAGAAGGATGGTTTTAAGAAGCTGCCTTTATAGGAAGTCCATCTAGTTCAATATTGTTTACACTGAGTGGCAGCAGCTCCATGGTCTCAGTACTGGGTGCACTCAAAGTCTGCCCTGGCTTTGCCAGCTTGCTCTCAACTAGGCTGCCAAGGGCACCACCACACACACATCTTCAGCAGGCATCAAAGCCACGGCCTTGATGGGAAAACAGGTGCTTGTGAGACTATTTTGGCATGGCCTTTGGAAAGCAGGAGACAGAAGCATTCCAGTTGCCACGTCTCCCAGTGGCACAGAGCCAATGGGGACCTTTCTGTTGCTGATGGCATCCTTGGCTGGATCTGCCTCTGATAGACCCACCCAGAATATAAGATTGGATGGAGTTCATCTGTTGAGAAGAGCTGGACACTCCACCCGAGATGCCCTCAGTCATGATTGGAGTCCTCTTCACTGCTCTGGCGTTGGCCTCCGGGGGTATGGGTTGAACTCAGATTAAATAAGAGGATGGAATCGCCTGGTTCATAGCCACAGGGAATGGAGGTGGCCGGCCTTCACTCCTTTAGATGGCTTTCAGAAAAAGAGTATCTAGATTATGAATGAAGGAGAACTCAGCCAAGTGTTTACTGGCCAGGACAGCAATAATAACAACAGAATTTGCACATGCAGAAGCATTCTCTCTCAGAGGGTCTGATTCCAGGAACAAACCATGGGGTTTGTCTTGTTCATTCAGGCTCCTTAGGGGCCTAGAGACACATTGCTGGGCAGATGGACCTCTCTGGTCTGAATCTGCAAACCAAGTGGTGTGTTTGAATGGGAAGCCTGGAGAGCAGGTTAGACTAGACCGTCCTTGACAGGGTGGGGAGGTGCTCTCAAAATGCAGCACAGAGGTGGCAACTCAAAATCCAACCAGGAGTGATTATGGTCTAGCGATGAAGAATGAGCACCAGTTGATAACAGTAGCAGAGTAGGGTTTTTTTTTTACAGGCTGCTTATATGCTGTTCTACAGAGCTCCTGCAAGCCTCAAAACAAGATGCCCAATCAGTTCTGCCAGGAGATGTGGAAAACCTCTCTGGGTGCTTTTCTGATATGCGTCAGGCATTGAAAGCTATTTTGTGGGCTCTGTGTGCAGATAAGGTGGGATGGGGAGCAGTGGCAAAGCTACCTGTTCCGGCACCGGGGTGGCGTACATCCAGGGGCGTGGCTGGTGTGCACCCCAGGGGGCATAATGCGCATCCCAGGTGGCATGGTGTGCCACCTGCGGGGTGCGGGGTGCATGCTGGGGGGGCATGCATGGCAAGCACGCAAGTCCCGGGGGCGGGTGCATTTGTGATGTCACACACCCCTGATGGCACCTGGGGCGGACCGCCCCCCCTGTCCCCACCTTCGTCCGCCAGTGATGGAGAGGGGTCTGCATTTCCAACTCACCCAGGCTGTATATGCAAAATAGCTTTAAAGCATGTTAAGAGCACATTTCCCTCCCTCAAAGAGTTATGGGCACTGTCGTTTGTTAGGAGTTGCTGGGAATTGTAATTCCTTGAGGTGTGTGTATCTCCTTTCATTCTATGTATCTTCACAGAGACATAGAATGAAAGGGTTTAAGGTCAGTGAGAAAGAGGAGGGTTGGTTTGAGAAGATATTGAATTATTTGAGTAGGTTTGAACTATTTGGGGCAATTAAAATCTTAAAAGTTAAATAAACCTTGTGGAAGGAGGAGGTATATAGAAGTGTACATATGGTTGATTTGAATATGTTATTATTGAATATGTATATTATTGGATATGTATATCTTTGAATATTGTATACCCAATGTATCAGCTGCCTGGGGGGCTTCACTGTGTTTTGGTGATTGGTAAAAAATAAAATATAATTAAAAAAAATAATTCCTTGAGAAGTGAACAGCAGTGCCTAAAATTCTTTGAGGGGGATAACGTGCTCTGAAGGTCTAGTAGTATGTACACAGCCTGCACAGACTCAGCAAAAACTCATTTCTTTCAGACACACTCTGATTTCCAGTAGCTTAGCCACCACCTGTTAGAATTCTTGCTCCAACTCCTGACACCACCAACCCCTGAAAGAGGTGGCATTGTGTAGAGTCAAAGAGGGTTCTTGCAACAATATAGGCGTGCTTAGTTATAGCCTGAGCATTATGCTCCCTTGAGCATCATCCATCTGTTGCGCTGAACCTTCCAAGAGTGTCTGCACTGTGTCCTTTTTGCAGCCTTCAGTTGTGGGGTCCCGAGCTACAAGCCCAAAGCAAGCCGAATTGTCGGAGGAGAGGATGCCAATCCGTACAGCTGGCCCTGGCAGGTAAGAGGCTCCCTTGCAGTGTTTTTTGTACAACTAATTTTATTTCTCTTACGGGAAATGTTTTTCTCCCTCTCTCATAGGCTGGGCTGGCCCACCTATGAGGCCAGGTAAGGCGACAACCTTGGGCGGCAAAATCCATGGGGCCAGCAGACCCCGAGGTAGATCTTTATTCCCTACAGGCGCCGAAATAACTTGGGCCAGTTCTGCTCGTAATGCTAGAACCCACGGACATCCCATGAAGCCAAATGTTGGGAGATTCAGGACTGACGAAAGAAATTCCTTCTTGAGGCAGGGCATGGTTAATCTGTGGAACTCACTCCCACAAGATTCAGTGATGCCCCTCAACGTGGGTGGATTTAAAAGAGGATGACTACCCATATTTATAATTCATTTATGCATACTTATTGTTATTCTTCCTGATTTTATCTGTGCATGATTGATAATTATTGTGTGTGTGTGTGTAGTTTTTATTATTGCCTTGGATGGCTTAGGTCTTAATGGGCTTATGTTAGTCATACCATTAATTTCAGTGGATCTGCTCTGGGTAAGACTAGCATTGAATGCAACCCATTATCTTTTGTACACTAATTGGAGATTTTAAAATTTATTATTAGCAGTTGTAATCGATCATTTCAGCAATTTAAATTTTGTTTAATACTCTGAGAAGGATTTTCAGGAGCAAACTCGTTTCGACCCTGATTGGAGAGTGTGACAGGAGGTCCAGGGGGCTTAGCATCCTCCAGGCTCATCCTGAGACTTGCCTGTCATTCCCAGGCTTCCCTTCAATACTCTTCTTCCAGTGGGAAGTGGCATCACACATGCGGCGGGTCCCTCATCGCCACCAACTGGGTCATGACAGCCGCTCACTGTATCAGGTACGTCAACAGCCAAATGAAAACAACTGCTTTCACGTAAGACTCTGGGATCCTTTGCAAATTTTGCCTTTTCTGGACCAGGATGTTGCTAGGAAGCTCCAGGCTGGACTACTGCAATGTGCTCCACGTGGGGCTGCCCCTGAGGTTAGCCTGGAAGCTCCGCCTGGTGCAAATATAGAGGCTATTCACCCCAAATGGAAACAGATTTTGCACCAGCGTGTCCATCTCTCTACTTTAGACATTTCCTAGTGTTCTCTCTCACACCGGTGTGACTAAGATGTAAACACCAGGGTGGAGCTATGCAGATGACAGGATGAGGATGACATGGGCCTGAATTGCATGGGGAGATCTGTCCTGAACATACTGCAGTCTTAGGGTTGAGATGCCAGCTTCCTATCTCTTTCTGCTCCTTAGCCCATAACCAAAAGTATGTGTAACTAAAATTACAACACCTTCTTCCTGTTAGCCTCTCTCTCCCAGTTTCTGAAGTTTGTAGAGTTGTAGTTCGGGCTGGACAAGCTTCTTGGAGCAGGGAATCTTATCCTCTGTTATCTGGAACATACATTCACATTTGCAATCTATTATTATTATTATTATTATTATTATTATTATTATTATTACAGATAACTCTCTGATCCCCCACTCCTTTTCTTCATTTTTTAAAATAGTTCTTCTCGGACCTATAGGGTCTACCTCGGAAAACACAGTCTCTCAGCCAGCGAGAAAGGATCAATTGCTGTCTCCCCAGAAAAAATCATCATTCACCCAAAGTGGGACTCAAGTAGCGTGTCCAGCGGGTAACTTAATAGCTTTTCATGAAACAAGTATAGAAGGAACTAGGATTCCCAACAGATTTGGCAGGGTGGAGAGGGAAGGGATGAAATTGGGGGCATACTTACTTCTGAAAAAACAATATCCAGAATTGTTTTTCTTTTAGTACCAAAGCCAGAATTTAGAGCTTGCTATGCCCCTCCCCACTATTTTGCCCCCTGAGTAAAGCTTGGGATTTATGAGCAAAAGTCATCACCAGCATTTATTTATCTACTGTACTTAGATCACCTGCCTGAATTGCATAGGCTGCATTTGTTTGCTATGAAGCCGCCTTGTGGAGATGAGTCTCAGAGCACCGCTCTATTTGAAGGGCTGTCAAAGAAGTACTGTAAGACAGGAGTGCGCGAGGAGCCTTGAAGTTACCCATCAATAGTGAGCAACACCTGAACAGCAGGCACCCAGCTCACCTGGTCTTTCCCACCACAGTGGGGCACACTGCATTTCTATTTGAATGGCAGTAATTTCAAATTTGCATCTGCACATCTAAATCAGGACATGCCTATTTTATACAAAAATGTGTCCTCTTTCTCTTTGCTCGTTGGTGATGCATTCCATTTCTGCTTAAGTTATTATTTCTAAATGTGCATCTAAAGGTAAAGGTAAAGGGACCCCTGACCATTAGGTCCAGTTGTGGCGGACTCTGGGGTTGCGGCGCTCATCTTGCTTTATTGGCCGAGGGAGCCGGCGTACAGCTTCCAAGTCATGTGGCCAGCATGACGAAGCCGCTTCTGGTGAACCAGAGCAGCGCACGGAAACGCCGTTTACCTTCCCGCTGGAGCAGTACCTATTTATCCACAGCGCCACCCGCGTGCATCTACATGCATATAAATTAGCATGTGGAAATGTGCTTGCAGATCTCTGATTTCCTCTATTTTGGCACAGCGTCAGTGTGCCAATCACCTTGAGTGATTTAGCGTATCCTTCTGGAGATGTTTGAGTCAAAGTGCTGGGGTTGTACTTAACATGGTGGTGGGATGTATCTTGTTTTGACTTTGTGGGAGATCTGGGATACATTGCATTACCATGAGCGTAACACAGAGCACCCCATATCTCCCACAGAGTCAAAAACCAGAACCAACTGTACCTGCCTTGGGTAAGCTGAGAATCACTCTGGTGACCTCCAAATGTTCTGGACAACTGGTGGCGGGATTCAAGCTGAACAAGCAAAAGACCAAGGTTTTGGCTAAAAACTTGACACCTACAGAAACAGAGGGGTTCCAGAAAGAAACAGAACTAAGTGTTGTTAAAAAAGTGAAATACCTAGGGGTTCATTTGACTGTTAAAAATTTGAATCTATTTAAAGACAATTATGAAAAATGTTGGTCGGAAATTAAGAAGGATTTGGAAATTTGGTCAAGATTGAAACTTTCCTTGTTGGGCAGAATTGCAGCTATAAAGATGAATGTATTGCCGAAAATGTTATTTTTGTTTCAGGCCCTACAGATCGTGGACAGAGTGGAATGTTTTGGAAAGTGGTAGAAGGATATATCTAAGTTTGTCTGGCAGGGCAAAAAGCCCCGAATAAAGTTTAAAATACTAACTGACTCGAAAGAAAGAGGGGGGTTTGCCCTGCCGGACCTGAGGTTGTACTATGAATCTGCAGCCTTCTGCTGGTTGAAGGATTGGTTTTTGTTGGAGAACACTGATGTCCTGGATCTGGAAGGGTTTGATAATGCTTTTGGTTGGCATGCATATTTGTGGTACGACAAGGTTAAAGTTCATAAACTATTTAAAAACCATATTGTCAGAAGAGCAATCTTTGCGGTCTGGTTGAAATATAAAGACTTATTGGAGGGTAAGACCCCGAGGTGGCTATCACCGGTAGAGGCCAAGGCTAGGGAAAGACTCAATATGGAGGCCTATTGGCCAAAATATTGGGAAATAATCGAAAAAACTGGAGACAATTGGAGGCTGCAGAGCCAAGACAAGTTAAAAAATAAGGTGCGGGATTGGTTACATTATGCTCAAATCCAAGAGGTGTTTAAAATGGATAAAAAAATGGGTTTCCAAGTGGAAAAATCGAAACTAGAGACAGAATTGTTAGAACCAAAAACTAAGACACTATCGAAAATGTATAACTTGCTGCTTAAGTGGAATACACAGGATGAGACAGTCAAATCTGCCATGATAAAATGGGCACAGGATATTGGACATAACATTATGTTTGAAGACTGGGAAAGATTATGGAACACCGGTATGAAGTTTACGGCATGTAATGCCTTGAAAGAAAACATTATGAAAATGATATACCGGTGGTACATGACCTCAGTCAAGTTAGCCAAGATATACCACCTGTCTGATAATAAATGTTGGAAATGTAAGGAGGCAGAAGGGACATTCTTTCACCTTTGGTGGACCTGCCCAAAAGTGAAGGCCTACTGGGAAATGATTTACAATGAGCTAAAAAAGGTATTTAGGTATACCTTCCCTAAGAAACCAGAGGCCTTCCTATTGGGCATGGTGGACCAGAAGGTGTTAAAGAAGGACAGAACGTTGTTTATGTATGCTACCACAGTAGCAAGAATTCTTTTTGCAAAGCACTGGAAGACTCAAGATCTACCCACGCTGGAGGAGTGGCAGACGCAGTTGATGGACTACATGGAACTGGCTGAAATGACTGGCAGAATCCGAGATCTGGGTGAGGAATCAATGGAAGAGGACTGGAAAAAATTTAAGGACTATTTGCAAAAACATTATAAGTTGTATGAATGTTAAGAAATATGCACGATTAGGAAATTTTTGCTTTAGCAACTTGTTTAAGTAAACTGAAAATTAAGACAAGAGAAAAGAGGTGGTAATATGAATCAACTTTATTATGTTAATTTTAAATGAACAAAGTTGGGATACGAGATTGAATTTGGGAACATAATAACTGAAAGATACAGTAAGTTAAGAAACAAGGTAACAAATTGCTGAAACTTTTATTGCAAAGAACGCAGAGTCTGGAGGATGTGGGGAAGTCCATTTGGAATATTGAAAAAATTATTGAAAGTTGGATTGAAATAACTTTTTTTTCTATTATCTTTCTTTGTATTTGTTTCTTGTACTTTCTTATTTTTATCTTGTGTATATGAACCTAAGAAAAGAAACTCAATAAAAATATTTTTTAAAAAAAACAAATGTTCTGGACAACTAACTCCCATCAGCCCCCTGGAGCATGGCCCTTTGAAGCTGGGGCTGATGGGAGATGTAGTCCAAAACTTCCAGAAGGCACCAAGTTGCAAAAGTTGCACCAGACACCCTGTCCTTTCTCTCTCTCCCTGCGGAAACCAGGAATGATATTGCGCTGATCAAACTCTCCAAACACGTCACCCTGAGCGACAAGATCCAGTTGGTGTGTCTTCCAAAGGCCAACAGCATCTTAGCCTCCAACTCTCCCTGCTATGCTACAGGATGGGGGAGGCTGCAAAGTAAGCAATGTTATGATTCCCCCCCCCCCACTGTTTGATGCACCAGATCCATCCTTTTGGGTTGCTACACAGACACGGTTCCCTTTTGCCCCACATCCAATGGCTTATTCAGCTCCAGTGGAAAAGCAGATAGATTTGGCCAGGAAACAAATTACCCCACCACGAAGCTCAAAATTATTGAGCTATGGAGGGGCAGGACACTAGAGCAAGGGGTGGGCAAACACTCCCCTATCACAAGGGCCACTTTCCATCGTGGGAAAACTTCTGGCCAATAGTAGGTGCAGTCAGAGGCAAATGTGGATGGAGCCATGGATGTAAAGTGGTACCTCGGGTTACAGACGCTTCAGGTTACAGACTCCACTAACCCAGAAATAGTACAGTGATACCTCGGGTTGAGTACTTAATTCATTCCGGAGGTTCGTTCTTAACCTGAAACTGTTCTTAAGGTGAAGCACCACTTTAGCTAATGGGGCTTCCTGCTGCTGCCATGCTGCTGGAGCACGATTTCTGTTCTCATCCTGAAGCAAAGTTCTTAACCCAAGGTACTATTTCTGGGTTAGCAGAGTCTGTAACCTGAAGCGTATGTAACCCGAGGTACCACTGTACCTCGGGTTAAGAAGTTTGCTTCAGGATGAGAACAGAAACTGCACAGCAATGGCACGGCAGGCCCCATTAGCTAAAGTGGTACTCAGGTTAAGAACTGTTTCAGGTTAAGAACGGACCTCAAGAAAGAATTAAGTTCTTAACCCGAGGTACCACTGTATCTCCTTCACAAAAGTCAGAGGTTTACACCTGGACACCCCTTTGTGGCCAGGCATGCAAGAGGCATGATTTCAGTTCAAAGATATAGTAGCCCAGCCTGCCAAAGCACTTGAGAAAGGCATGGATTGGACAGGGCCTTCAGGAATCAGCATGTGGAGAGCAGCCTGAGCAGACACACAGCTATGGCTTGGGGAGAATCCCAAGAGCCTTCTGACCTGCCCCCTAGATCCCCCACCCCTGCGGCAGTAACGCCAGATCGGTTCCAAGAGCATCCTCCTTTGCCACCAGCAGCCCCTTGTGTTTGGTCTCTTCCAGCTGACGGTGCGTCCCCGGATATCCTGCAGCAGGGGCGCCTGCTCGTGGTGGATTATGCTACCTGCTCCAAGTCCAGCTGGTGGGGCAGCTCGGTGAAAAGCAGCATGGTCTGCGCGGGGGGCGACGGCGTGATCTCCAGCTGCAAGGTGAGCGCCTGGCACGCAGGTGCGGCAGCAGTGGCTGCCCGGTCCCTCAGCCAGAAGAAGCGCCGCATCTTGCAATCCAACTCACCGGGATTGCAAGGCGCAATTTTATCTTTGTGTTCGTTGCCACAATGTTGAGTCTTCAGAGGCCGCGTGCTTCTGAAAACCAGGTGCTCGGCGGATGCCTGAGGGAGAAGGGGGGTGGTTGCATCTAACCCCCCCCCCCATTATCCAATATAGGAAGCAGAAGCAGGATACTGGGGTATACTCTCTTTCTGGCTCTGTCAGATTCGGAATGAAATCTAAAAGTTTTATTTCTTCTTTTTTAAAAAAAAAAAATCCCCCCCCAATTCATTTTTGTCATTAACAAATACATCACAAATAAATCACAATCATATAAACATAGGGTTCTCTGAATCCTTGGACTTCCCTCCACCCTTCCATGGTTTCCATCGTTATTCTTTTCCAACCACATCTTATAATGTTCTCCATCTTTTCTTAATACTTAATTCTCACCATAGTTCGAGCTGCATTGCAAGTGGGATTTTGACCCCAAGTGCTCAGAAAAAGCCTTCAAAATCTTTCTACAATTTCTACTTTAGTATTTTTATTTATTTACTTGATTTATGGAGGGCGGCTGCCCTCCCCCCATCTCCCTGACTATGCCCATGGGCACTGCCCCATTCTTCCTCACATGGGGTGCCCTCTGGAGGCAGCCCTGTTTAGGTAAGTTTTTAATGTTTTTGTGTTTTTAATATTCTGTTGGGAGCTGCCCAGAGTCACTGGGGAAACCCAGCCAGATGGGCGTGGTACAAATACAGTAAGTTGTTGTTGTTGTTGCTGCTGCTGCTGTTATATCAGGGGCTCATATCCCAACCCTGGGAGATATAAGCTTCTTCTTTTTTGTAAATAGTTTTTATTAAGTTTTACAGTTTTATATTCCTCACAATCACATTATCTCAAGAAGAAAAGAAAAAATATAATTCCCCAGTTCCCTCACTCCTCCCCTCAACTTCCTCTTCTGGTTGTTTACATATTAACTTCTCCTGATTGTTATATTGTACCTTAATATTATATTCTTGAATTGAATATTGTTCTATTCTTGTCATTTAATTATTTTCAAATTGCTTCATGTGCTTTGTTATTTTCCAATTATTATGTCTTAATCTCTGTGTTTGTTTTCTTGATTGTGTTTACTCAAATCCTAGTGAGTCCACTTCTTTACAATATTTCTGTAAGTACGACTTAAACGATTCTGGGAGATATAAGCTTCAAGCATGCAGCAGCAAGGGCCGTGTAGTTCAAGCAAGCCAAGGTTAAGCAGGGGGATTCAGGCTAGGTCCAAAACATGATCCAGTGGCAGCTGAGCATGGCTTGGCCCAAATTGCCTGGTAGGCCAGAGTCTCCCCACTTCTGTCCAAGAGGCTGGCTGCCACAAGGATGACCGGGGCTTAGCTGCTCAGAAACAATCAGTTTTGACTCCCCAGTCATCTCCAAGGAGAAAACTCAGAGCATCCTTCCTAAAAAAGAAGCTCCATCATATTCTGTTTGGTTGTTTCCAGGGGGACTCGGGCGGCCCACTCAATTGCAAACCCTCCAGTGGAAAGTGGGAGGTTCACGGTATAGGCAGCTTCGTCTCCTCCAGCGGGTGCAACACCTACCACAAACCCACCGTTTTCACACGCGTCTCCGCTTTCAACGACTGGATCGCTCAGGTGAGCTCTGCACTTTGAGGCAGATCGACAACCCTTGACGCGTCACAGAGCCAGTGTGGTGCAGTGGTTAGGGCATCTGCCTAGAAGCCGGGAGAGACCAGGGTTGAAATCCCCGCTCAGCCATGCAGCTCGCTGGCTCAGTCACTGCTTCTCGGCCTAACCTACCGAACTGGATTGTTGTTAGGATGAAATGGGGGGGTAGGGTGGAACTATCCAGGCCACCCTGAGCTCCTTGGAAGAAAGGTGGGCTAGAGAGGTAATAAATTAGTAGTAAACAATGATCATCGTCACCTCGGTTTGGGTTTCTGGATTTTGTACGTGTGTTGAGCTTGCGGTAGCTTTTAGCTCCCTTTGTTCCTTTGGGTGAGAGAGCTGTCCCGTCGATACCAAGAGGCATCCTCACATTAAAGAAATAATAATAATAATTTTCCTTTGCATTTTCTGTAGATGATGGCGAAATATTAACACAAGGAATGTTGGAGTGCAGTGAGAACCTACCACAAGTTCCATAACAACAAAACCAGCTGTGGAATAAACTTACATCTATCATCTATCTATCTATCTATCTATCTATCTATCTATCTATCTATCTATCTATCATCTATCTATCTATCTATCTATCTATCTATCTATCTATCTATCTATCTATCTATATCTATCTATCTATCTATCTATCATCTATCTATCTATCTATCTATCCTATCTAAAGTTTTTATTATAAGTGCATGTGTGGGCCAAGTTTTTGGCACTTTGTTTCTGTCCAGAGCTCTTCCCTTTTGCACCCCTCTCCTTGCTGATCTATAATAACAATAATAAATAATAATAATTATTATTTATACCCCGCCCATCTGGCTGGGTTTCCCCAGCCACTCTGGGCTGCTTCCAACAAAACACTAAAATACAATAACCTATTAAGCACTAAAAGCTTCCCTAAAGAGGGCTGCCTTCAGATGTCTTCTAAAAGTTTGGTAGTTATTTTTCTCTTTGACATCTGGTGGGAGGGCAATCTAGGGTCATTCCACCCTCAATTGTGAGGCCAGCTGCCCATTGCCCACATCCAGAGGTGGCAGGGAGAAGGTTCTGTAGCCAGAATGTGCATTGAAGCAAGAGCTCAGCTCTTGTTGCATGTTAAAGGACCAATTTTGGAAAATTGGTAGCAGCCGCTGAGAACCAAACAGGTGCCCTCAAACAAAGGAACCCTTCAAGGACACCCATGTCTCAGCCCTATCAGGGAACCAGTGTAGAACCAGCTGGCGGTTCCCAGTGCCCCCAGCATTGCTAAATATCAAACTGGAGAGCAGCAAGGTGGGAGGGAGAACATTGGGGAAGCCCTTGATGGCCAAAGAAATAACAAATAAATTAGCCTCGCCAACCTGCGGCCTTCCAGATGTTTTGGGATGTCAACTGCGATTAGCTGGTAGATATGATAGTCAAAAACCACTGTAGGACGCCAGGTTGGCAAAGCCTGAAATTAGGGATTGAAGAAGGCGTCATTATTTGTTCCACCTTCATGTTGGCCACGTTCAACATTGTCAATACAATCTTTTTCTAGCAGAGGGTTTTAAGGGCTTGGCTAATTTGATTGGGTTATATTTTATTTTATTGGGTTATAGCCAGTGCTTTTTTTCTGGGGGGATGCAGAGGTACTCATACCCCTAACATTTTGTGAATCTTTGTACTTATGTCCATTTACTGTATTTATTTTCCCCGATTTGAACTATAAAATGGTGATTTTCTTGAGTCAAAATGAGAGTACCCCTAAATATTTTTTTTAAAGGAAAAAAGCACTGGTTATAGGCAATGCTAGAGTTACTCGGAGTAGACCCATTGAAGTTAAGCGACGTAACTTTTTTGGACTGAGTTTTACTGTTTTATCAATAATTATTTTATACGTACCACTTTTTCTCGATTAAGCGGTCTATAAATCTTTCCGAGTAAAAACAAAACAGGTCCAGGTTCTTTTTCGTAAAGCTCTTCACATTTCCTGAGCGTTTGCGGTCTTAAATCCTAGCTTCTTCAATGGTACACTTTCAGATGTGCTTCACAGCAAACTCAGCCACAAGAACTTGAGCAGCTGGCAAAATTCTAACCTTAAAGTGATAATCAGTTTTTGTTTTTCTCCCACCCCCCAAAAAGGAAGTAAAAACAGCTCTGGACCACACAACATGCTTATGAAATATATTTTTTAATTACTTTTGGTTAAAAAAAATAAAATCATACCACTGAAATGGAACAGCTTTTGGAATCAAAAGCAGAAACACATTCTTTTCAATCCATCCATTTAAACCTATTTGGTGGGTGGGTGGGGGAGGGAAACAGGTTGAGAAGAATGGAAGGAGAGACTGAATATAACACTTTCTTAAACCTCCTCCCCACTCCGGACCCCCAACCACCTATGGTTGCAATATGAAAAAATAAACAAAGCCTCTGAGATCAACAGGACTTTTGCCAAAAAAATATAAAGGGAAAGAAAGGGAAGGAGGAGACCGGAGGGGATTTCACATGGCAAATGGGAGAGAATGGACTTCTTCTTTTTTTGCTGGGTAACAAAATATATATGTAACAAAATATAATGTCAACTCTCTGGCTTTTAAAGCTCAGCTTTGCTCAGGGAGCTTATTCTGCCAAAGGCACGGACCTCCCTTGTTGCTTCCTCAAGTCTCAAAAACAAAGTGGTCTATTCAGCATTGCCAACTTCTAAGAAAAATAGTTGCCTGTCCTCCTCCACTGCAATAATCATAAATGAGCAGGTTGAATGTGGCATCAAGAAACACACCGCCTCCTGTCAAAGTCTGCAGGTCACAATAATTTTTACTTTGCACATCCCAAAGGGGGAACTTCAAGTGTATGGAAAAATACCCCTTCCCTCCAACCCCCCCCAAAAAAAACCCCCACCCCGCCTTTGGAACCTTTATACAGGAATGCTTCCACAGGAATTAAAAAGTTGGCAATGTTAACTCTATCACTTTCCTTTTCGAGCTTTGAGCTAAAAAAGCATTTTTTTGGAGTAGATTTCTCCCCTTGTCAAACACACTGAGGGTTTCTGCTTCAGAACCTGAATTTGACAACCGGGGGTTGTCTCTTTCTTTAATGATCACAGTGCATGCAAAAAATTAAAACAGAATAATAATCCAGATTAAGCCATTTGAACATTTAAAAGCACTTAGGGGTGGTCTCCCAGCCTGAACATTCAACATGAATATAGACTATTACACTTTTCTTACAAGTTTTGCCCACGTGGTTCTAGATTTGGGTGGATTTGCCCAGAATGTGTAGGTATGAAAAAGGCTTTTCTTTTTTTTAAAGATAGCTTTATACTTTTCTGCAAGAAGAGTTGCCTGTTGCACCACAACTTCAGCACTTGGGTTATTGCCATGATATAACACACACACACACACACACACAGAGAGAGAGAGAGAGAGAGAGAGAGAGAGAGAAATATGCCTTTTCTGGACTAGCTCAATTGATAGAGTTGTGGGTTCAAACCCCACCTTGGGCAAAACAAGCATTGCAGGGGATTGGACTAGATGCCCCTTGAGATCCCTTCCAACTCTACAATTCTATGATTCAGTGTTATGCTTCTCTAGCAAGAGACCAACTTACAATACCCTTTGACCCCACTGCCCCACGCAGCATGGTTAAGGCCTTCATCCACACTGAACAAAGTCAAGTTTACTGGAAGTTGAGGGCATCTGTAGATGGTGCTAAAATAAGGGTGGTGGGAGGGGCAACACCCCAATAATAATAAATAATAATAATAATAATAATAATAATAATAATAATTATTATTATTATTATTCCACCAAAATATGTATGTCAGACCACTTTCTTTTTCCTGAGCAGCAGCACCTTTAAAAATGGCAAGCTTACGGAGCGATGAGCTAATCAATAGCAGGAAAATAAGTCTTCAGAACGCAAGCCGACAACTTATGAGAGGAAGGAACCCTCAGATGTTTAGCTGGGGCTGATGGGACAGATGTTGGTCCATCAGGATCTGGTGGACCAGAGGTTCCCCATTTGCAACTTACAAGGACAAGGCTCCCTATCTAGTACAGGTATTTGATGGGAGGCCGAGAGACTCACAGTATTGAGCGGATGCAACCTAGACGCAATGGAATGTGCCAACTTTGTCACAGGCTTAGAAGACAGCTGCCCTTCAGGGCAATGGGTTTCCTGTATTGGCTAGTGAACCTATGAACCGTGAGTCTAGGGTGACAAAATCTCAAGGCTCCAGCCTAATTGGGGGGTGGGGAGGGAATCATTGGTGTGTGTGTGTGGCCAACACAGCTTTCTCTCCTCAAGTTCTTGGGGACAATAAGGCTGAACCATAGGTAGTCCTAATACACCCAGCCTGCTTTGCCAATGGTAATGGCCAAGGAGCCAACACAACACCTGCCTGCCCAGGTGAGCAAAAATGCAATGCTACAGTGCCCCTCCTCTTAAGATGGGGAAACGCATCAGCCCACCCTCACATTCAAGCAGCGGTAACTGGTGCCCACTGGAACCAGTAGGGTGGAAGGCAGGGAGGCCAACAGTAGGTGGCGCCAGAGACAACAACAGGCAGTGCCTACTACTTATTCTGGCTTTGTTGCCATCCTCCTTCCTGTTGATTTCTACAAGTGGCAACATTAAGACTCAGGATAGAGGAAGGACCACTCCTTTGGATTGGCTGTAAGGGAGGCAAGTGGGGGGCTGGCTAAGATTGGTGGGGAATGGACCAGCCTCTGTTGCATACAAGCAAGGGCAGGGGCACTTGGAAAACACATTCGGTTCAGCTTGCCACAGTCCTACACTGTGTTTGCCATTTTTGAAAGTCTTCATGAAAATTACTCAGCATTTGAGTGCTCATTTTTCTAACATTCAGATTTGTCCCAGTAGCACCTTAGAGACCCTAGAGACCAACTAAGTATCTGAAGAGAGCCAGTGTGGTGTAGTGGTTAAGAGCGGTAGTCACGTAATCTGGGTAACCGGGTTCGCGTCTCCGCTCCTCCACATGCAGCTGCTGGGTGACCTTGGGCCAGTCACACTTCTGTGAAGTCTCTCAGCCCCACTCACCTCACAGAGTGTTTGTTGTGGGGGAGGAAGGGAAAGGAGATTGTTAGCCGCTTTGAGACTCCTTAAAGGGAGTGAAAGGCGGGATATCAAATCCAAACTCCTCTTCTTCTTCTTCTTCTTCTTCTTCTTCTTCTATCTGAAGAAGTGTGCATGCACACAAAAGCTCATACCAATAACAAACTTAGTTGGTCTCTGAGGTGCTACTGGAAGGAATTTTTTTATTATGTTTTGACTACGGCAGACCAACACAGCTACCTACCTGTATTCAGATTTGTGAATTTTGATTTTGACAGAATTTTGCTGGATGTACCCATTTCCCCAAGCATTTTTGCTCTAATAAGATGTATTTTGGGGGGAGCTATTTCCATGATGACATGCGTTTTAGGGTGCACTTCCACCTAACCCATGCATGATTTCTTTGGCTGGAGTACCGTATTGCAAAAAGAAGAAGAGACAAATGAGGATTTCAGAGAGCTGAATTCATTTCTCGTGTTGTTCAGGAAAAGGGCAAATTCTGCAGGCTGGCATTGCAAACTGAGCCACCCTGGAGAGTCTGCAGATTTCCTGCTTTCCAACACACACACACACACACACACACACAAACAAACAAACAAACAAACAAACACACCCCTGGTTTTTTGGCAACACTTCAAGCAAAGGGACTTTAACGTGATCAATTAAAGCATTTTTGATTGGAAGGGATTGCACACGCTAAAGTTGCATTCTTATTTTCTTTTGCACAAGCACAGCTGTCGGAGCAAGGGTACGTTCAGGCCTTCCCCGCAAACCCCGGTCTTCGACCGTGAGCCAACGACCACAGCGATCACCAAACCGGCTGGGAGATGAAATGGTTCACAAGTCGAAAGTGCAAAGCCTGAGCTCAGGACACGCCACGCAGTTACAAAGAGTTAGGAAACTCCCACCAGACAGACACGACACGCCATTCACAGGAAAAAGACACAGAACTGGCCCACAGGAAAGTGGATGGGAGCGGCAGCCTCTGGGATGTTTGCCTGTGGTATTTACAGGTCAAGAAGAAACAAGAGAGGTGTTGTTTTCACAGCCCGAGGCCTGAACGACTCCAGATTCAACTGCAAATTCTTTTCCGCATTGGTCCAAACACAAACCACAACCTAGGGTTGCCAACTGACCGGGAAACCCCTAACTGGGCCTGCTCTTGTGCCTTCAACGGCTGCCTGAGCGGCAGAAAATGGGAATGTTTCACAGCAGGGAGGTAAGCCTCATCACCTGCAGATCAAGCAGCCGCTGAAGGTGCAACTCAAAAGATGGGAACTGCACAACCGCCGGCAACTTTGCATCGTTCCCGGTTTCGCTGGAGGACTTTGCTAGGGCGGCTTTCGCCGTGGACAAACGTCCCTCCCAGCAACGCTCGGGCTGGCCCTGTCACTGCTTGAAGGCCGACTGCAGTTCTTTGAAGGCTGCTTTCCTCTGCTTCATCTCCTCCGCTTGCCGTCGCTTCTCTTCCTGCTCCGCCTTGATCTCCTCTTCGAAGCGGCTCGTGACATTCATGGCTTGCACCTGGAAGCAGAAAAACTGGACAGGTGAGATCGGAACGGTCCAAATGGGCAGCTCCTCTCACTACAAACACTTAGCGCCAGGAAGCGGGAGCAGCCGATGAGAAAGAGGAAGGATGAACCAAAGATTCCAGCAGTACAATATCAGAAAAATGCCTGCAACAGAGTCTGGCCATTGGTCCACCGACCTCAGTATTGTCAACACGGACCAGCAGCAGAGTTTCCAACAGGATTCTCTCTTCCCCATGCATACCTGCCTAGAAATATCAGAGATTGAGCCTGGAGCCTTTTGACTGCAAAGCATGTATGTGCTCTACCACTGAGCTAAAGTCCTTTCTCTAAAAGTGAAGTAAGGTTCTAGTCCATGGGTAGCCAAACTAAGGCCTGGGGGCCGGATCCGGCCCAATCGCCTTCTAAATACGGCCTGCGGATGGTCTGGGAATTAGCATGTTTTTACATGAGTAGAATATGTCCTTTTATTTCAAATGCATCTCTGGGTTATTTGAGGGGCATAGGAATTCATTCACCCCCCCCAAAAAAATAGTCTGGCCCCCCACAAGGTCTGAGGTACAGTGGACTGGCCCCCTGCTGAAAAAGTTTGCTGACTCCTGTCCTCATGGTTTTGAACAGAGGGCTGGTTTTAAGAGGAAATTGCCTTTTTCTGGTCTATCTAACTCCATACTTGTCAATACTAACTTGGGAGTAGCTTGCCAGGGTTTCAGACAGGACTTTCTGTTTCACACACTTACCAAAGAATATCAGAGGCTGCGTTCTGGACCGTTTGTATACAAAGCCCACCCTCTGCTACAGAGCTGCACCCCTTTTCCATCTGAAGATGACCATTCAGTGGATTCAGTTGGGAAGGGCCAGTGTGGTGAGCGTCCGACTAAAGCTAGCTCCTGTTAGTAAACTAACAGGAAGAGATGGCGGTCTGAGGACTTCCTTTGCTTATTATTATTATTTTAAGGTAAACTTGGGCAGCTAGAAATGCCGTTTCTGACGCGCACTCCATAAATGGTGCTGGAATGGCACTCCCTGCCTGCATTATCCACCTCTGCTTCTAACCAAGCAAGTTTCTAGTCCCTCTTACCTGTGGAAAGCATGCAGTGAGGAGTCTGCCCAGTCACTCCCCAATAAGTCACCTTGTTCCCGCCTTCCACTGCTCTAGCCAATGAGCGGCGAGGCAGAGGGACCGACTGACAAGAGCTTGCCTCCAAGAGCTATTTGTTACGGTTTCAGTGAGGTGGAGGCGCTACGAAAGGCCTCTATGGGCACATAGGAACCCACTCCATGCTCCCAACCCCTGCCTTGGGCTATGTGCAGACAGTGGTGTGATCCCAAGAGAACAGAGGACCCAGCCGCTCCTTACTTTGGCCTCGAAAAAGCTCTTGGCTCCTTTGACACCCTCCGTTGAAACGTCGATCTCCGACAGGCGGGCTAAGGCGTGCAGGCCACTGTCTTCCTCCAACTCGCCTGCTGCAGCTTTGCGAAAGATCAGAAGAAACTGGAGCAAGACAGAAAACACAAACCTCCCATGAATTTCATTCCTCCAGAATCCTGTGACAATCCTGCTTGCAAAAGAGACAGAGTAATACAGCACGATTGCACCACAGGCACATTTAACTCGTGCAATTGCAACCTGACACGGTTGAAAGCTGGCAATAACCTCGCAAAATTAAAATGCATGAAAGGAGGAGAGCTTTTAAGCTTCCAGGCTTACTTACCAGGCTCTGGGAGGTTCTCGTGAGATCTTAAAAGCTCTCTGTCTTGCAGGGGTGGGGGCAAGGGATACTGAATTGGCTGCGAGGGTGAGGGGGGAAAGCAGAACTGAACCAATATTTCTCAAAAGACATTTTCTTTATAAAGAGTCTATGTACCCTGCTTTTCAGCCCAAAAGGCTCCCAGAGCAGCTTACATACAACCAAAACATGACTGTTTTTTTTTTTTATAAATCATATTTATTAAAGTTTCCAAAATACAAAAAGTAAATATAAAACAAAAATGAAATACCTTTAAAACCTTATTTTCATTACCCACTTTCTGGGACTCCCCCCTCCCCCCTCCCTACCATATTCCCCTTTCATAACGTTGCTTCTACAAGCTCTCACTCCCAATTTAGAACTTAATTTGTTTAACCCCATATTCAAATTTAATTTTATACAGTCATCATCATTACCTTAAATAAAAATCAAAAATTCTCTCCCCAGGGTCCACCCCATTTTCCTTCCACGAATTCCCTTTTTTTTAATAGAAACGCCCCAACAAAATATAAAAACTATATAAAGATAAAAAAGATAAGAAATGTATATAAAAAAAAATTCAGAAAAGTTACACAGCCTTTGGATTCTAAATCTCCCCCCCCCTCTTCCCCGGTTTAGATTCCCCATGTCCATCAGTCTGTCTGTTGTCTGCCTGAAGATCTTGGATCCATAATCAGATTTTCCCTTAATTCCTTGCCAGTTTTTTTTTAAAAGTTTTTTTTATAATATTTAATTTCAAATTTCCAGTCCAAAAACGGCCCCTAAGGGCCTTTAATTTCTTTAGTCATTTAAAGCTCCCCCATTGTTCTTTCCATGTTGTAGTCCAGTTTCTTGTCTTGTTCCGTTGCTAAAACGTCCTAATTCAGAAATTTAGTAGTTCTACAGGAGTTGTTGTTGTTCAGGAACAAAAACTTACGTTCAGTCCCTTCCTTTCTTCAATAGAAAAGTTCTATTGTCTCCTTTAATATAAACACCCCTGTAGACAAAATACTAATTCAGTTTTGCAGCTTTCCCAAGAGATAACAAGTCCTGTAAAATTCCAAGAGTATTTTTCCACTTGCAACCATCTTTGTAATGTCCCGAAACCCCTCTAGGGGGATTATGGTAACTTTGTTTCCTCTGATCCAAAAGTCCGATTGTTGTTCCATATTTTCGACATTTTATATCCAAATCGTGGCAAATTGTAACAAAATTAACTATCAAAGCCCTCGTAACAAAGTCCTCTTTAAGTTTTCCGACTTTGACAGCTACCTTGACAGCTGTCAAGGCCTCCGTCTCTTTTCACCAGGCTCTCTCGCGAATCGCCCCGGTTCCCGGGGGGGGGGGGGTTACATTTTCCTTCTCCCTCCACTCTTCTCCTCCAGCACAGTTCTTGTAGTTTTCCATCGTGGAATTCTCAATTTTTGTCCGAAATAGACTTCTTTCTGGACCTTGGTTACTCAGTCCTTGTTTTAAAGTGTTTACAGTAGGGAGGGGGACTGACTTCCTTTTTGGATCCCCCCCCCGCTCGTGCCAAATCCGAAAAAAAATTCTTTTTTTCTCCTTTTAAACCCAGTTTCCAAATTACTCACGGGTTGTTGTTAAAAGTCCGAATTTTCAATGGAAGAAGTCAGCGCTCTCTGCCGGATGGCATGCGGCTTCGCTCGGCAGGGAAAGCAGAGGACTCAAAGCACCACGCCGCTCCCCGGCACCCAATCCGTAGCCTTTAAAAAGGCTCCTTCACGAGTCGGGAGGGCGCTAACGGTGCCAGCCGAGTCACCCATGTCCACGGCCTCCGTGGCCGTGGTTTTTGAGGGTCCCCGCGTCGCCGGCGCGGTAGGACCCAGCCCCTGCCGAGCAGGCTCCCTCCGGAGCTCGGAGGGAGTCCGCCATTCGGCGATGGCGCCAACCCGGAAGTCCCAAAACATGACTGTTCTACCCGCAAAGCTTACAATTTAAAAAGAACACGGTGTGCAAAGGAAAACAGACTGGGAGGGAAGAGGAAAATCAAAACTCCCACACTGATTTCTTTGGACAGAGAGATGATGAGCTTCAGTTTTTGAAATATGACAACCCTACTATATGCATATATATCTATATACTTTTGTATTTTGTTAGGAACATTCTTGTTTTTGTCGATGGGGAGGGAAGCTTAAAAATGGGAAAAAACAAGAATGTCTCCTTTAAATAATAAATGATTTCCCTGCCTTATAAAGAGGATGGAGAATTTTGAGAGGTGGTTTGGATACAGCTCAAGCCCAAAGCAATTCTGGTGGCTGCTTTAGGGCAAAACCGGGGACCTATTTTGTATCAGAGCCGTAGAATCTTTTCCCCTACCATGTTTCCTCACTGCAGATTTCTCCACCTCCATGAGAAGCTATTTGTGGCAGGGGGAGTGGCAGTATTATATATCCCATTGGTCCTCTCAGCCATGTAGGAAGGAATCAAACAGAAACCTTTCTGAGCTGCATCGCTGCAAAGGCAGCTCTTTTTCAGGGCACCTGCCCCAGAGCCTTTGCCTCTCCACAGAAGCGTTTGCTTCTTTTTCAAAAGGAGAATTTTCCTGCCGTCCCCATTTGAGAAAGAGTTTGATTTTTCTGCCTTGGCTTTATTTTTATTTCTTGCTTCGGGGCAGAAAAGAAAGAACGAATTAAGAGTCTATTGCAGCAGCCCTACTGAACAGCATCCACTTCCATTTTGGGCTGTCCATTGTTGCGCTTTGCTTTTTAATACAGTGGTACCTCAGGTTACATACGCTTCAGGTTACATACACTTCAGGTATGTAGCCTCCGCTAACCCAGAAATAGTGCTTCAGGTTAAGAACTTTGCTTCAGGATGAGAACAGAAATCGTGCTCCGGCGGCGCGGCAGCAGCAGGAGGCCCCATTAGCTAAAGTGGTGCTTCAGGTTAAGAACAGTTTCAGGTTTAGTACGGACCTCCAGAACAAATTAAGTGCTTAACCTGAGGTACCACTGTATATATTTTTTAAACTCCTCCCATCCAAAGTGACTGCAGGCATCATTTTTGCAAGAGGGGGCCCTCTTCTGTTGAGTGGATGGCCGTAATTCAAACCAGTGACCCAACTGGCAGAGTCCTTTTCCTGCCCCCCAAATAAAACTTTATCTCTAAATTACAGTGGTACCTCAGGTTACATACACTTCAGGTTACATACGCTTCAGGTTACAGACTCCGCTAACTCAGAAATATTACCTCAGGTTAAGAACTTTGCTTCAGGATGAGAACAGAAATCGTGCAGCGGCAGAGGGAGGCCCCATTAGCTAAAGCGGTGCTTCAGGTTAAGAACAGACCTCCAGAACGAATTAAGTTCTTAACCCAAGGTATCACTGTATATGGATGAGCATTTTTTGAAGAATGATGTTTATCTATTCCTGAGAGCCGCATTCATCCGTGAGCAAGTCTTCCGGGGGCCAAAAGCAGTGTTGGGTAGAGCCATGGATTATTGTATGGCAGGCTCCATTCCAGAGCACACGGCCCCTGTGAGGTGGCCCATGCGGGAATGTGGCCCTCAGGTTCCCCATCCCTTATTGAAAGCATTCTAAACCCTACTTTTTGAGTCGGATAGGCTCTCTCGCCGTAACTATTACCTCCCGGAAGCTGAGTTTGCCGTCAAAGTCTTCATCCACCTCCTTAATCATGTTTTTCAGCCCCAGGTGTGTTTGGGGAGCCCCGAGTTTCTCCATCATCAGCTTCAGTTCCATCAGATCAATGAAACCATCTTTTCCTGCGTCGTACCTGCGAAAAGAAGAAGGAATCTTGAATCTGACCAAAATGCCAACTACGGTTTGCAGGCACAAAACCCAGAACGGGGTTGCCTCTCTCTCAATAAGTCAAAAAACCCCGTGTCAAAGAGTTTCTAGTCTTTTTTTATATAATCTTTTCAATTAAATTTTTCCAAAAATAACAAAATAAACATACAACAACAAAAAAATACATAATCCAAATATTGAGATTACTCTGAATCTCCTGACTTCCCCCCATCCCTTCCATGGGGTTCAATTTTCAACTGCTTATCAGTACTTCTACAATTTTCCTTCTTCCCATATCATCTATATGTTCTGTTACATTACAAGTATATTTAAAATCCTGCTAATGTTTTGACATGTTTACAATAATTTTGACATGTTTACAATAATTTAGACATGTTTATAGTAATAAGCATCTCCCATTCTTTTTTGAATTTCTTGTCTTCTTGATTCCTGAGCTTCCCAGTTAATTTTGCTCAAAGAGTTTAGTCTTCTCCCCCTAAACCCGCTAAAGAATCACCTGTTCAGTATAAAAACAACAACTTTGCACAAGCTCTCTGCTCTTATCGTTCCCTAAGAGTTTCCATCCACCCGTCTTTAAGGTTATTGTTTGGATTTATGTGGGCCTTTCCTTTCGCTGTACAGTTACAGATTAACTAATGACAGAACAAGTTTCCTTCTTTACGCTTCTCCACCCAATTTGCAAGTCAGGCGTGCTGCTTTTCCAAAGTTAATTGGTGGCAAATGAGAGAAACGAAGGCCACCTGATTAGTACAAGATGGCAGTTGCTGACGGCTCCAGGGTGGCCCGAGGCCTAAATGGCCACCAATCCAAAATAACAACTGAGTGGGGGTAAGGCTAGTGAGCCTCAGGGTCCCCAACATGGCATATCTTCAGGGAGAGATGCCCAAAGGCATTGTGGGAGAATAAAAATGGCAGCGGCTGTTGAAACGTGAAAGGTTCTCTTAAATGAGTGGGGCTGTGTGTTACGTCAACAAATTTTGGGATCCAGCGGATTTTGAACTTGGCACCACACGAAAAGATCTATATGGACCCCGGCTTGGGCTGAGCTTCCCACATTTGATTTGCTCCAGTTTGCATAGCACAAGTTCCTGCAGAAAGATGAAAAGTGGAATTTAAGACTGGAAAAAATGAGAAACCAAGGAAGCTGAAATGGACAGATTCTTCCCTCTTTAGTATGGACTATCCGGAGACCTCAAAATGGAAGTGGTGCTGCAAAAACCATGGGCCAAAAGCTAGGCTGGTCTAGGTAGCCTGTTTGATAATGCAACCCTAGTTAAAACTGGATTCCATTAGAAACAATAAATCAAGTCTGGGTGTTCCTGAGTGTTCCACAACTGTGCTTTGACCACACTTCTTACATAAGGGTGTCAAGGAACAGTCCTAAGTCTTCACCAGTTTTGTTTTGTTTTGGCTTCCCAAACTCCAAATCAGAAACCAAAGAGAAAGCTTAGAGTCTCTTATCTAGGGTTGTCATATGTCCGAATTTTCCTGGACATGTCTGGGATTCCAACGACGGGATAGGCATCCGAGGGGAATTTCAGGAAATTGGCAAAACGTCCGGGGTTTTGTAACTTTTCCAAAAATAGCTCAACTTCCCCCCCAAACGTTGTCCTGATTTTTTTACTTCTTGAAATATGGCAATCCTACTTTTATCAGAACTGCAAGGGTGTGATTCTCTTTGCATTCCAGTTCCAAGATAGGTCTTATCGTGAAGTCTGCAGCCTTTTTTAAACCAGCCAAAGGGCAAATATATGCAGATCAGAGCTTTGCCCTGTGGGTAAGGGCAGTGTGCATTTCTATGACAACTCCCTTTTGCTTCAGGACAGACCAAATGCACGTAATCACATCAAACTTCTTGTATATTAACCCTCAAAGGTACGCAGTGCAACCCTGGCTTGCAGCCTCTGTGCAGCACTTGATAACTGGAGAATCCTTCAAAACTCAGCTTCCCCAACAAAGCTGCTAGTCCTCATGGGTACAGATATCGATGTCTGAGGCACACAGGAAGTGTCTGCAAAGGACGCCAGTCCTCCTAAAATGGAGCTAACCAGAAAGTGTGTGACAACATGTCCTTTGCACATGTCATAAATATTCAAATAATTTTAAAAAATGTTGCAGAAGACACCTGCAAAAAACCCCAACAACCCTCCTGTCCCCACCTATCTGGAGGTGCCCTTATTTGGATATCAGCTGGGAAGAGAGCCGTTCAGGAATTTTTTTAAAAAATAATATTATAAGTTGTGTGTCTTTGCTTCTCAATTTGTATTACGTTATTTTATGCACTGTGACTTGCTGTTATTTTTTATGGATTATATTTTAGAATTTTTGTTGTTGTAATTGTTAGGATTGAATGCTGGCATTTAATTTTATTGCGTACTAGTATACTAGTCTAATGGATTGTTGAATATTACTTTATTTGGTATGTTGCTTATTTTGAAGTTGTTTTTATTATGGCATTCTTGTATTGGGTCAGATTGTTAAAAGGTGTGTGATCTATGTTGTTTCTTCAGCTTGTAAAACCACCCTGTGTTTTGTAATATAGAAAGGCAGTATACAAATTAAAGGTGAAATGAAATGAAACCTAATTGCAACTAAAACCAGTAGCTGCACTATAAGTAGGAACTATCTGGGAGCTATGGGAGGTTGGGGTCACCCTCCACTTGGCCTCATAGTCCCCTGTTGCTCTGGGAACATCTGAAAACTCTCCAACATTCCGGATTTGATTTTTAAAATTTTATTTTCAACTCACTAATATTTGCACTGAGTGTTTTCCAAACCGCTGGAGTCATCGCCAAACCGCTAAATGGACCCTGGAGGGTTTTTAGGCTCTCAATGGAGGTGGTTGCTTTGTACTTGAAAGGATGCATTCAATGCACCAAATTGCGGTCCGGTGGAGGTCGAGGCTAATGACATCCTTCAAAGACTCCCTGACGATACAGATACTTTCAATACAAAGCTTCCATCAAAAGATGACCGCCAAGAAACTACCAAACTTGCTCCCCACAAGAGGTAGTGATGGCTGCCAACTTGGTAAAGGTAAAGGTAAAGATACCCCTGCCGGTCAGGGCCAGTTGTGACTGACTCTAGGGTTGCGAGCTCATCTCGCTCAAGAGGACGGGAGCCGGCGCTGTCCGAAGACACTTCCGGGTCACGTTGCCAGCGTGACGAAGCTGCATCTGGCGAGCCAGCACCAGTGCCGCACATGGAAACGTCGTTTACCTTCCTGCTAGAAAGCGGTCCCTATTTATCTACTTGCACTTTGTGCTTTCGAACTGCTAGGTGGGCAGGAGCTGGGACCGAAAGACGGGAGCTCACCCTGCTGCGGGGATTCGAACCGCCGACCTTTCGATCAGCAAGTCCTAGGCTCTGTGGTTTAACCCACAGCGCCACCCACGTCCCAACTTGGATGGCTTAAAAAAAGAAGAAAAAAGGATTAGACAAATTCATGGAGGATATGGCTACCAATGGCTACTAGCCATGATGGATATGCTCTGCATCCACGGTCAGAAGCATTATGCTTCTGAACAGCAGTTGTTGGATGGGAGAGCGGTCTTGTGTTCAAATCCTGCTTTTGGGCTTCCCATTGGAGCACCTGGTTGGTCGCTGTGAGAACAGGATGTTGGATTGGGTGGGCCTTTGGCCTGATCCAGTGGCAGGGCTCTTCTCACATTCCCTTGCATCCCTGAAAAGGATAATAGAATCATAGAATTGTAGAGCTGGAAGGGATCCTGGGGATCATCTAGTCCAACCCCCTGCAATGCAGGAATAGGCAGCTGTCCCATATAGGCATCGAACTTGCAACCTTGGCGTTATCAGAACCACGCTCTAACCAACTGAGCGCACATAAATATGTGATATTTATTATTAGGGCATCACCCTCTGTGTGCAGGGATCACTGGGGCTTGGCCCAGGCCGCATGGTAAGTTTGCAGCAGGCCCAAAATTCGAACTCAGGACCTCCTGATTCAGTCTTTTCTCCCACTTTTTTTTTAACCCCAATGTGACAGATATATAGACCTTATTTAAACCTACTCTACCAGCCTTAACTTGCACACAGGATTTTTTTGGTGCTTCTAAACAGGCGGAACGCTTCCGACATCATTCTGTTTGGTGACTAATTGACAGCTCTGCCTGCGGACCCAACCACAAGAGATTAGAAGGAAGAGGCCCACTAATCTAACGTAGCTCTTTGCTCCGGGAGCAGGAGATTAACGCCCGCGACTATTCTGCAAAGCTGATTAAAGCTAGATACATGTGTGCAAATTGCTCGTACCTGGTTTAGCAGGGGAAATTGGGTTTTTTCTTGGGATGCCAAGGAGAATGGCTGCGTTGCTTTGAGTGCACTGCCACTGAAATCGTAAAGTGCTGCAGCTGCTTTGCTCGGACTTCCGTGGCGAGAATTTAAGGAGGAATTAAGTGAGTGTCGAAAGAGGTTCCACTGTACATGCGATTCGCCCTCGCCCCTGGCCATATTGGCAGAGGCTGATGGAGTCTCAGCAACACCCAGAGGTCCACAGGCCCCTGGTTAAAAGGCACAGTCTGAGGAATCGTGGGGTGGGCAGGTGAAGGGAGATGGACAACTGTTGTCAGAAGAGTGACCTCTGAGGGCCGCATGACAGCGGTGGGCGGGGCCCGAGGCACAAGTGGGTGGAGCAACAAATGCAGATTTGACTTAGTAATGTAGGTTAGTTTCTACACGCAGACACACGTCTCCATCCACTGCCAAGGCAAGCAAGAGGTTTTAGCAGAGGTCAAGTGAGTACATTGCAAGTCAGACACTCCAGGGCTGGATCTAAACTGATTGTAAAATGGACCACTCCTCTACAGAGCCCTCTTTTGGCACATTGTTATAATGCATTTTTAACATTACAACTGACCAGTGTAGATTTGCCCCAGGAGCGTGCAAAGTGTAGCTAGGAAGAGTTGTGAGGGCCTGGAGGGCTATGCTCCCTGCCCCCAAGCCTGG